GGGAAAAGCTGAATAATTTCTGACTCACTTCATGAGTCATAACAAAAATGGTGGAAAAAGCTTCGGAAGAGCAAAGGGACTTCTGGTTTTCTTAAAAACGTTGAAATCACTTCAAAAAGGTAATTATTCCAATTTTATTCCGAATAACGAAGATTCTGACTGTACCTAACCATGCCTAGTGTTTAGCAGAGGCATCAATTTAGGGGATGAGGATCTTTTCATAGTACAGTTCATTGCTGTAGATGAAATGTTGCTGCTGGAACAATACAGGTAAATGTTCATTGTTGTAGGTGAACTGACGGCAGGCTGAACCACACTCATCCTAACAATGCTGACTACTAAGTCACAAAGGGAAGAAGGAAAGGTTATTAAGGAAAGGTTATTAAGTCGCCCTAGGGCTGAGAACGGCGGTCAACAAATGCAGTAAATAAAATAAAAAATTAACAGCATCATCAACAACAACAGCAACAAGACTCTCTGTAACATAGGAATGCTCCTGTAACATTGGCATGCAACATAAATATCACGTTTCTAGCCCTTATACATAAATAGGCATATAAGAAGCGACTTTGTCCTGAGTAAGAAATTGGTCCATCTAGCACAATACAGTACTACCAATTCTAAACTACGGCAGCTCTATGGGGATTTTCTTTCTTAGCCTTTCCTGGAAATTCTTGCTGTTCTTTGGTGAACTTTTGATCCAATCATGGACTTCACTTAAATTCAGAAATCTGATGTGTTTGGATGTATCCATTGATATATAGATGTTGTTTGATGTTGCCTGGAAAGTTGTTTCTGACACATTATGACTCCAAAGTAAATTGGAAACTGCTGAGTTTCCCCAAGGGGAGAAAAGTGGTATATAAATGTAGTAAATAATAAATAATGATTAATAAATCTATCATAGGTTTTTCGTGGCAAGATTTGCTCAAAGGAGGTTCGTCTTCCTCTGAGGCTGAGAGAGTGTGGCTTGCCCAAGGTCACCCATGAGTTCTTCATGATCTAGCAGGGATTTGAACCCTGGTTTCCAGAGTTGTAGTCCAATGTTCAAAACACTAAATCTCACTAGAGAGAATAAATGCGTAAATGAATAATTTGTGTGAAGCCACACAAAGGCAGATTAACACAGTAATGCAGTTGCAGAATCCGGATTTTCTTGGTGCATAATAGATTTTGCCTTGATGTAAAAATTTCCTACTACTCCCCCACCCCTTCTAGAGACAGCTTTCTAAAACCTCCTGTGAGCATGGTCATTGCTGGACTTTGTAGGATTTTTTCCAAGCCCCACTTTAAAAAGAAAACCCAAAGTTGCAGATTACACACTAAGCCAGTGACCTGTTCACACTGTATAATTATAGCACTGTTATTCCACTTTAATTCTGATGAAAATCCAGGATTTTCAGTTTAGGGAGGAGCACCTAGAGTACTGAGCCAGGACATTCTGGTAGCTCAGAAGACTACAATCCTCAAATATGCAACAGAGATGGAACCATGGCATCTAAAGTGAATATACTTGACTCTCTACATTTGGGGGTTCAAATTTTGTGGAACTGATTATTTGTGGATTTAATTACTATGTTCTCTCTAGGAATCTGTAGATCATCCAGCACAACTATCGGATCAAGTCCTGGTGGATGGTGAACATAAAGTAATGTTTGGGGATCTAGAGATTTCTAGAAAGATTTGTGGTTTACCATCTTTCATTGGGGCTTTGTGTCCCTAGGTCTTCCCCCGACATTAAGTCAAGTCGTGTCTGACTCTGGGGGTTGGTGCTCAACTTCATTTCTAAGCCGAAGAGCCATCTTTGTGCGTAGATACCTCCAAGGTCATGTGGTAGGCATGACTGCATGGATCACTATTACCTTCCCACCAGAGCAGTACCTATTGATCTACTCTCATTTGAACTGCTAGGTTGGCAGAAGCTGGGGCTAACAGTGGGAGCTCACCCCGCTCCCTGGATTCAAACTTGCGACATTTTGGTCAGCAAGTTCAGCAGCTCAGCGGTTTAACCCACTGCGCCACCGGGGGCTCCCTAAACTCCACAAATGGGAGCCCCACACCTATGCCATAGATCACTTCTACACTGCCATATAACCCAGTTCAAAGCAGATAATCTGGATTTTATATGGCATTGTAGAAGAGGCCTTAGTCTGAATGGATAAACCCTCTTTTTTGTGTATGCAAGGGATACTTACTTACCTATCTATGGCTCCAGATATGACTTATAGAGTTCGCAATAAATGATTGATAAACACACTGCTCATGCATATCCACAGAATATGATTCAGCCCTTTGTTTTGCAGCCCCCATCGTATTCTCAAAGGTGGTCTGATCCTCCATGGCACACGGCCAGCCTTTAAATAGTTCCAGTAACTGGAAGGGTAAGAGGGCCCATTCACCTTTGGAAAAGGAACCTCGGGAGAAGGTTTTGCTTCCTGAATAAAACACTTGTTAATAGACCATGACAGTACCGTCTGTCATCTGATCCATGTTTAGGTCTCATTTCCCTCCATCGGTCATATAAAGCAGCAACAGCAGTAATGTTGTTCTCCCCGCCACACTCTTCTCTTTGGACCTATAATAGCAGGAATTCCAGAGGGTCATAGCAGAGGTATTTTAAACACAGACATGGAAGCAATGAGGTTGATGGACAGAATAAGACGTGCTCTTCCACCTGTCCCAAGGAACAGCAGGAGAGAAATCAGGGTCATCTGGAATGGAAAAGCTTTCTTCCTTCTTCTTGATCCTCTCGCTTGCCTCCCTGGGGAAGGGAGAGAAAAGAGGAAACAGGCCTTCCACCCCATGCTGCCTTAAGAACACACTCAGAAAGAAAGGGATGGAGATAGACTAGAGCGGATTAAATTTATGGCACAGGATTCAAAGTTTGGTATGTCTGTAAATAAAATGAATTGGAACCAACCCTTAAAAATGCACAGTGATAAAGAAAGAGGTACACAATACCTCGTGGGCTCATACACATCCCAAAGTTTCCAGTGCTAACATCTTCATGGAGCATTTGGGTACAATATCTGCCCTGTTCTTTTTCTTTCTGCAAAATGTTCAACATAGATAGAGCTGACTTTACTGGTAGAGGAAACAGCAAATTTGGCATTTTGTGAGATGATAGTAATTTGTTTATTATCAGGTCTATTATGATTTTGTTTTACTGCCAAGTATTTGTGAGATTGTTGAAGGTTTTCATGGCCGGAATCACTGGGTTGCTGTGAGTTTTCCAGGCTGTATGGCCATTCCAGAAGCATTCTCTCCTGACGTTTCACCCACATCTCAGAGGTTGTGAGGTCAGTTGGAAATTAGGAGCCCCTGGTCATGCAATGACTTAAACCCTTGTACCGGCAGGAGTGCTGACCAAAAGGTCAATGGTTTGAATCCAAGGAGCGGGGTGAGCTCCCGTCGGCTCCAGCTTCTCATGCAGGGACATGAGAGAAACCTCCCACAAGATGGTAAAACATCCAGGCATCTGCTGAGTAACATCCTTGCATCATCTGGCCAATTCTCTCATACCAGAAGTGATTTGCAGTTTCTCAAGTCGCTCCTGACACACGAACACGGCATGTGAGATTTATATATCCGTGGAATGTCCAGGATGGGGAAAAGAATTCTTGTCTGTTTGAGGCAAGTGTGAATCTTGCAATTGGCCACCTTGATTAGCATTCAATGGCCTTGTAGCTTCAAAGGCTGGCTGGTTGCTGCCTGGGGGATCCTTTGTTGGGAGGTGTTAGCTGGCCGTGATTGCTTCTTGTCTGTATTTCCCCTGGGTATTTTTTAGTGTTGCACTTTATTTACTGTCCTGATTTAAGAGTTTTTTAATACTAGATGCTATTGGATACCATCCCACAAAAGTTTGGGATTGTAATTTGGTGGGATCCTTAAAACTGTCTAGTACATTCACTAAATATGGCATTACAGTTGATTGACAGAGAATTTGGAGTATTTCATGAAACTACAGATCTCAGGATTCCATGGTAGCTGAAATGTCATAATTGTGTAGCATTGATAAACCCATTGACGTGTATGTGTGTGCACACGTTAACTTTGCTGTTTTGCTTCAGTTAGCAAAATGCTATGATTTAGTCTTGGTATGTTTACAAATTATATCTAACCTTTGTATTCCAATTTTTTAAGGATAGATAATGTGAAAAACATCCAGATATGTTTATCTGGAACCCAGTATCTGTATGATAATGTGATTTGTCTCGGAAATAATTACGATTTTGATTCAGGGGTTAGGTACACTGTGCAGATTAAGGTAATGCAGTCTGGTGAATTCTTTACTGTCTTTTCAGATGAAATCAAGCAAAGTAGGTTTACTGAAGAGGACTCTAATGCCTGAGAATTTGGATTATAGTTCTCCAATGGCTATGGTGCCATTTACATGAACTATTTAATGCAGTTCAAAACTAGCTCCAAACTGCTGTGAGTAGACAACAAATGCCCATAAAAGCACATGAATAAAGTCCTTAATACACATCAGCGCTCTGTGGTTTGTGCAATCACCATCCAGGCCTCCAACTGGTTCCAGGATTTCCTATGTAACCCCCTGCACAGCGAAAACACTATCTTCAATACTGGTTTGAAACTGATTTAAGTGGTCAGTGTAGATGTGTCCCATGCTGGCAACTGGGAGATGTACAGTCAGTCATCCATATTTGCAGGCTTGACTTTTGAAGATTTATTTGTGGATTGGATTAAAATGTTATTTCTAAAAATCTCGAGGGGCTCTTCCAGACTGGGCTTATCTCCCAGGATATAACCCAGATTTTCTGTTTATCCCAGATTATCTGTCAGTGTGGAGTGATATAATCCAGTTTCAAGCAGGAAACCTGGGATCAGATCCTGGGATATAGGGCCTGTCTGGAAGAGCCCTAGGTCGTCTAGCAATACAGTCGGTTTCCAGCAGATGTTGACCACAGAGTCATGCTGAAGGACCTGAGATTTCCTAGACAAGTATTCACTCAGATTTTTTTTAAAGTGCATTATTTTTTATTTATGGGTTTTAACTTTCACTTCAATCTTGTGCCCCTCGCTCCAGCAAATGTGGAGGGCTGACTGTACTCTCAAAAAGTAAAATTTCTCAATTGAGATTGTATGGCAGAAAATGCTGAGCAAACAGGAATCTCCTCTTTCCCCCCAAAACCAATTTGAAAAGAGCAATCCAGCTGTTGGAAGAAACAGTTCCGCTCCTTGGATTCTTCCTCTAAAATCCAGACTACACTTTGAGTCAACTTTCCCATCTACTGATATAAAAACCACCAGCTGCCACTTCATCTACTATGATGCCTATGAAATGGAGATGCATAACACCACCGCCTCTTCCATGGAATATTGCTAATCAAAACAGTTTTGGCTTCCTTGAAAATTGCTTCAATGTTTTGACTGTCGAGAATCACCCACCCACACATCAAACTGGTCTTAAATTTTGCTTTCATCTAGAGTTTGATGACTGGTACAATGCATTCACACCAAGATGAGAGCAGTGTCCACAAAACACTTCGCAGAGACATTGGAGTCCAATGAATCAGGACCAAGGGTTGTTAGATCTGAAAGTACAAGCTTGTCCATTTCACAATCCCACAGGACCTTTCCAGTCGGACAAATGTATTGCTTCATTATTTATTTCTCCCATCAAAATTCTTTAAAATTTAGGCCACCAGCCATGTGAATCCACCTTCAACTATCCATTTGCCTGAGGTATTTTCATTATTTTTTTTACTTTCTTAAAAGTGCAGCAAAAATGTGTTAGGAGGGAAAAACAGAAATGACATCAGCAATTTCCTTCCTCTCCTCACCAAATAAAAACAACAATTAAGAAAACAATTAAAACCAGTAGAAGTCAGAATAAAGAAAAAACATATGAGGTAATCTTTCACATCTTAAAAGAATCTGTTCACCTATCTGGAACAGCCATGTAAAGTCAAGAGAGGAAAACTCATGCTCAGAACTGGAAAGCAGAAAGATGAGGCTGAAAAATTAAGGCAACCCTCGTCCCCTGAATGCCTTCCTATCCTTCTGATCTCCTCTGGTGGCTTTCACCATTGTGTAGCTGAAGAATTATACTCCTTTCCCCCCAAAAAGCAATTCAACTTAGTTGTCAACGTTTCAAAGGATTATGCATCTTCCAGCAGGATCCCGTAATGGATCTGGGTGCCCTGTTGGGTCTCACCCATCATCGTTCTGGACCACGGAATAATCAAATTTAAGCAGCAGCTCCTGAAAAGGAAAAGGAAATGACATTCCTTGGTTTCAGAGTTCAGTGATTACTATCCAAAGCGAAACTTGAGTCTGTATTTGATGGGAGGAGAGTTTTTCCGAGGCACCGGCAAGGAAACCTTTGGTTTTGCTGGGATTACGACAGGTGGCTTTTTCTTTTCAGGGACAGCAACCGTAAAAGCCAGTTCCGGCTGTTCAGTCTGTCTGAACCTCGGGAGGAAATGCGTGGAAATATGCTGTGGTTTGACCCGGGGGCTACACCCCCTTTTTGCTTTGCCCCGTTTGTTCAAGGCCACGTACCATTCCCTTCCCGTTTTCCCAGTCCTGTGGGTGGCTGAGGCATAGGTGTTGTAGCTGTTCTCCTGAAACCTCTCCCTGAATTTGCAGTCTTCTGTAAATGTGGCCTAAAAAAGAAAAAAATAACAGCAAAACAAGTTTTTTAAAATGATACTTAATTTCTACCAGATTTTGTGATCATTTTGGACCATGTTGGTGTCACTCCTTTTAGACATGCATCATTTCACGACACAGGAATTCCATTTTACTAGAAAACCAGAGGTTAAACCTTGTCAGATACATAAGTGATAATAATGAAATGCATGGGGACAAAACATATCTCATGAAAACCTTTCATGTACAGTAGAGTCTCACTTATCCAACCTTCGCACATCCAACATTCTGTATTATCCAACACAGTCTGCCTCCTGCCTGGATCCATGGCTGTTTCAATATATTGAGATGTTTTGGTGCTAAATTAGTAAATAGCTTAGAAACTAGCCAAAAAGTTCTTGCTTCAGCTTTTGAGATATAATTCAACAAAACCTTTCCTCTGTCATGAGTCTTGCCTTTCTTTCAGCCTTTTTCCTGGCCATTGCCTTTGGGCAAGTCATTCCCTTTCTCAGTCCTATGATTCCCATCTACAACAAATACCGATTACAGGGTTGTCTCCTTTATAGTTCTAGTATGTTCTCCACTTTCGCGAACATTAGAGGCACAGGATCCTCATGAAAGTGTAAAATGTGACTATACTGTATATATTTGAGTATAAGCCTACCTAAATATAAGATGAAGCACCTAATTTTACCACAGAAAACTGGGGAAACGTATTGACTCGAGTATAAGCCGAGGGTGGGAAATGCAGCCACTACTGGTAACAATAACAATAAAATTACATTAATTGAGACATCAATAGGTTAAATGTTTCTGAATATATACTGTGCAGGTACAGCTGTACCAGGAGCTCCAATTTTGTTTGCTTTGTATTGAATGTTTGTTATAGTCCTAAGTTTCGGGGACTCTGCAGATAGGTGGCTTCTTTTGGCTGCAATCATAGGGCAAGCCACCTGTCATTTATTGTTAGGTTCCCTAGTCCTGCCCCCTTTTGGGCTTTGATAGGGAAGTGAGCCATTTTGGGTTCAGTCCACACAGAGAAGCTTTCCATGCAGGACATAAATCCAAGAGCTCCTGTAGAAGGCTTCGTCTTCTACGGCTTGGCCGGGGAGATATACAGCCTACAGCCTGACCGGGGTTGTACAGCCTTACAGCTCCTTTGCTGAAGGACTTCATTCAGCCATCACAGAAACCTGAATTCTTTTCCCCCTGGAAGTCTACAAAGCTCTGCTTGGTAAGGGTCACTCGCGGAAGCCAGAAGCAGTTGGTACCGGGTGCAGGGGCTCCACGCCAACAGAGGCAAAGACAGACTGCCCAGATTAGAAGTTAAGGATTTCCCCATTAGTTACAGTTAAGAAGATAGTGCCTGTTCCCTGTGGACAAGATTGAAAGAGCCAATAGACTGTTAAGAAAGCCTTAAAGTACCTGTTTGTTTTCATTAATAAAGAACTTTGTTGAACCTTTAAGCATTCTAGAGACTGTGTTTTAAGGAAATCCAAGGGCCTTTAATCTGAGGCAGCCCCGGCGTCCCGTTGGGCACACAGAATTTATGTCCTGTCTACAGTCTGATGCACAGGCCCAGCGTGCAACACCACTTACATAAAACTGTAATTTAAGATAAGACTGTCCAACTCTGATTAAACCATTATTCTGACTTTCTTCAATGTAAATGTGCTTATGTATCCTTCCAATAACAATAGAGTAAAATAATAAATGTAATAATAATATTACAATAAATATAATAAAAATAATAATAGAGTAAATTAATGTAAATGTAATGATAATGATAATACTAAATAAAGTAAAATAATAAATGAAATAAAACAATAAAACAATAATAAACAATAATAAAGCAGAGTAAAATAATAAATAACTTTGACTCAAGTACAAGCCAAGAGAGCTTTTTCAGCCTAATAAAAAAAACTTGGCTTATACAAGTATAGATGATATATGTTTTTATTTACCCAAGGGAACCTTTCTGTGGGCATTTGTAGGTCCTCCATCATGACTCTATGGTCTACCTCCATTGAAAGTTGACCACATAATCATGCTGGAAGACCTAAAACATGCTTTTTCAGTTGTGTGTAGCAATAGAAGAAATGCCTAATACAGCCATCTATGAATGATGAAATCCACAAATACTCAACCTGAAAATGTGGAAGAACAGCTGTATTGTTAGTGTTATTACTTCTGCCATCTACTTTCTTTTCTTTCTTTCTTGTCCACACCATCTTATTTTTTTTTTCAAATTTCTTATAAGGCTGAAGAAGCAGCATTTCTCTTACTCTCTCTCTCTCCTCCTTCTAACCATGACTATCATAATGTAGATAAGAAACAGTAACTTAACCAACCATAAAGGGTATTAAAGTGCCCATTTCACCTTATTGATGCTTCAAATCATCAGTAAAGCCAATTTTAGCCTGTACAACGGAGTACACCATGTCTTCTTAATGGAAGCATGGATTCCTATGGCCAAAAATTATCCATCATATGTATGAATTTTACTATTAATATGAATAAAAAATGAAATGTTTGCAAGTATATCACTAAACCATTTTTCCAGCTTTTAAGAAACTTGTTGCATCACCTCCAAACTGAGTTTAAAAGACCAGAAAGTTACAGAGTGTGTCTCTGTCCTTACAATTTTATTTTGGAGATTCATACATGTCAATTTCAAATGCCGCGTGTGTGTGTGTGTGTGTGTGTGTGTGTGTGTGTGTATGTATGTATGTATGTATGTATGTGTTTTCCACCTTGAGTTGTGTGGAGAGGCAGGTAATAAATACATTATTGAGTTGCTGTGAGTTTTCCGGGCTGTATGGCCATGTTCCAGAAGCATTATCTCCTGACATTATCTCCTGAGGATGACTGCCATAGATGTAGGTGAAACGTCAGGAGCGAATGCATATGGAACATGGCCATACAGCCTGGAAAAAATCACAGCAACCCAGTGATTCTGGCCATGAAAGCCTTCGAGAACACATTGAAAATACATTGTTTGTTGTTGTTGTTGTTGTTGTTAGATACTCAAAAGAACAAACCTTTTATCAAATCCTTTAGATTTGCAAAGTTTTCCCAGTGTATGTGCTCTCTAGTACTGGCTAGGTGGCAACTATATTAGACTGTAAGGGCTGGTTTCTCATGCTTTCTATTCTTTTCAGAATATGGTCTGTTGGAATGGGAGGCAGAAATATGAGGGTGGGTCAAAACATAATGCCTCCATTGCTCTAACTTTTATTTATTTCCCAACTACTGGATTATCTATGCATGATATGATAGAGGTAACCTGACTCTACTGATATAGTAAGGTAAAGGTTATCTCCTGAGATTAAGTCTAGTTGTGTCCAACTCTAGGGGTTGGTGCTCATCTCCAACCAAAGAGCTGGCATTGTTGGTAGACTCCTCCAAGGTCATATGGTCAGCATGACTGCATGGAGTGCCATTGCCTTCCCATTGGAGCGGTACCTATTGATCTACTCACATTTGCATGTTTTTGAACTGCTAGGTTGGCAGAAGCGGAGGCTAACAGTGGGAGCTCATCCCGCACCCCAGATTTGAACCATTGACCTTTTGGTCAGCAAGTTCAGCAGCTCAGTACTTTAACCCGCTGCACCACCAGGGGCTCCTACTCTACTGGTATAATCTTTTCTTTTTCTGATTGACTAATTAGAACTGTGAATCTGAAACTAAAAGAAAGTCGTCACTGAATTTCTGGCAAAAGAAGGTTGTGTACCTAAGGAACTCCATAATTGCTTAAAGATTGTTTATGATTTGGCCCCTTCTGTCTTCTACCTGCTTGGACCTCTGAAAAGACGATCTACGTGGTTTCAGACTCAATGACTTGAATGACATTAAAACAGCTTTAAAATTATGGGTCACAAAGCAAAACCCTGAATTTTTCCGAAATTGTTTTGATGCCTGGGTTAAACAATGGCAGAAATGTGTACAAAGTGATGGTGACTATGTTGAATGGTGTGCAGAGGATAGTTCAGGCTATCCCGTGTAGCAATTTGTGCTGTTATATGTTAATTCATAATGTTTTTATGACACAGTAGGCAAAACTTTTTGACCTACTCTCATATATTTCTTTTTCTACATCAAACTGGATCTTTGGTTCACCAGCATGACTGGCTAGTATTTCCTGGTGCAGGTGGGAAAACTCATTTCACTCTAGTTGCCGTTTACAAATTACTAAAAGACGAGGAAATATATCACCCTGCAAAAAGGAGATAGAATTGCATATGGTGATTTATATATACAGATGCTCATTTAGACATAAGAATCTAATTTTTGTGACCAAATGACCTGCATGCCTTCTGAGCATTCTGGGAGCTGTAGTCCCAGAAGTCGTATGTCCTGATGTTCCTAGGGTTAAGGTCACCGAAGTGCCAAGGGAAGGAACTGTCAAAGGATGAACCATTATTGTAAATAGGTCTGGGTTGGGCAGACATCCTGCTGGTAAAGTTTCTGCTATTCTTCCCTCCTCTCTCTTAATGAGTGGACCCCTTGACCCTCTCCCATGTGTTCAGCCTGAATACATTGGACTGATGGATGAGATGCACACTTCCGTGCCAAAACAATCCGAAACCCTTTGGGAAAGCAATCATGTGGAATTGTCTTCTCAGATTTATAGCGAACAAGCCAGGAACAAGAATGCACTGTACTGTGATCATCTTTCAGCTTCCCTCTATTGTTAGGAGCTATTTAGAGCTTGATCTTTTTTGGACTGGGGAGACCTGGAGGGTTAGGCAGAAAAACATCTCTTTTCACACATAATTCATCATGGTGAACAATGAAGTTATTGGAAAACATTGTTTCCTTTTCTCACTAGGAAAATTATTATCCAAACTTCTAGCCTCTCGATGCATTGGATTATAACTCACATCATCCCCAATTAGCAGGGCATTGGCTCTGCACAGATCATGGGCTTTGTAGTCCAACTCATCAGAGAGGGAGGCATCGGGCTGGGAAATTATGGTGGAAAGAAATGAAAGCCAGGTTGTTAAGAGGAACT